AGAGAGAGAGAGAGAGAGAGAGAAAGAGAGAGAGAGAGAGAGAGAGAAAGCCTTGCTGAGATGATGGGCACCAAAGCCACAAATGGTTAGGTCCAATAGTTCATGATCATTATCTCATTATTTCTTGTCACTAAGTTCTTATATCAGGGAGGTGGAAAACACACACTGGGTGATAACCTTAGCAATAATTTTACCGAAGGCGCAGACATTCTTCTTAATATATTGACCCTCAATAAAAAAGGCAAAGGATGTGAGGCTCCAGTGATCGATTTCTTGCCTTTCAGCTCTTCATCCACTCTCCCGTGTTCTGCCTTGTGAGTCTACAGCTGGACCCCAGAAACATTTCTCCTTTGCCAGCTGCTGTAGAAGGCATAAGAGGGTCACAGTAAGAGGCAGAGTTTTTTCTTTCTGGTTCCAGGATTTGTTTTTATTTTGTTTTTGTTCTTTTGGCTGATTTGCCAGTGCTGGGTGGAGACCCTGCAGTGCCCACTGGCCGGTGAATTTTGCCAACAGCATGACAGTGGCTTCCTGCTGACTTTTGCTGGCACTCTAGTGGGTAGCTTCCCAGTAAATTTTGCTGGCACCCCAAGAGCATCTTCCTCGCCATAGGCATGCCCACGTTCTTGGAAATCTCTCTGGTACCCCTTTGGGCAGTTTCCTGCTCACCAGCCCCAACCTGCCACAACTCAGCAAACTTCTTGGGCATCCATTGGGTTGCAGCCACACCCCCTCCAGCAAGTGTGGATCAGCTGGGGAGGGAGGGCATTTTTTAGTTTGCCCCTTCCTTGGTTGCTCTGCCTTAGCTTAGAGGTCGTGGCTGCTCTCTACATCTGCCATTCCTGCATTCTTTAGAGTTCTCCTTACCCCCTTCAGTAGTTCATACCCTTTTATAAGTTAATAACTCTTTATATGTAATGTTCATTGTTCAAACTACTGGTGTGGTTTCTGTCTTGACTATATGCTGATTGATACACACATTAAATTTAGTTTAGGGAAGGGATGGGAGAACGCTAGGATGATGCCTTTTTTAGAGATCTGACTTGATCTTGAGAAATAGGTATTAGACCAAAGAGCTAAAAACAGAACTACCATTCAACCCAGCAATTCCATTACTGGGTATATACCCAGAGGAATATAAATCATTCTACCATAAAGACACATACATGTGAACGTTCATTGTGGCACTATTCACAGTAGCAAAGACATGGAATCAACCTAAATGCCCGTCAATGACAGATTAGATAAAGAAAATGTGGCACATATACACCATGGAATACTATGCAGCCATGAAAAGAACGAGATCATGTTTTTCTGTGGAAACATGAATGGAACTGGAGGCTATTATCCTTGGCAAACTAACACAGGAAGAGAAAACCAAATACCTCGTATTCTCACTTATAAGTGGGAGCTAAATGATGAGAACACATGAACTCAAAGAAGGGAACAATGGACACTGGGTCTACTTGAGATTGGAGTGTGGGAGGAGGGAGAGGAGCAGAAAAAAATACCTATCGAGTACTGGGCTTAATATCTGAGTGATGACATAATTTGTACAACAAACCCCCATGACAAAAGTTTACCTATGTAACAAACCTTCACATGTACCCCAGAACCTAAAATAAAAGTCTAAAAAATTATTATTTAAATGCATGATAACAAATGTGGAAAGTTTCAAAAAAAGAAAAATAAGTATTAGAATGTTTAGACTGATGATAACTTAATCTGTCCCTTACTATGGCTTCTTCAAATACAATCTTTCTTAGATTATCAATTAATCAATTCATTTTCTAATTTTTATTAGCAAATAATGTTACAGAAGATTTTTATAGAGAAAAACTATGATAGTGATAATCTCACATAATAGCCATTATAAGTTTTAAATAGTACTGCTTCTTAATGGGAAATGTAGAAAAACTACTTTTAGAAAACAATCAATTTTCTTCTGAATTAATTGTTTGATATTGATTAGTAGATCGAAGAGGCAAATAACGGCATATAATTTTACAGCTTCTGAGACCATCTTATCCTGCCCCAGATTTTCTTTCCTGTAGTT